GAAGAGCACCCAAACAAGAAGGCAAACAATCTGCCTCCAAATTCAAGTGCAACCACCACTTAGGAGGCAGACAATCTGCCTCCAAATTCAAGTGCAACCACCACTTTACTATAATTTAAATTTATACTTTTCCTTCCTTTTTTCCAGTAACTAAATCTTTTTATTTATTGAATTAATTGCTTTCTTTATCCAACGGCTCAAATTGAAAGCTACAAATACGGCAATAAAAGTTTCCGAGAAAATGCAGTAAGAGAGCCGATTTGTTTGTTGAGACGCCAACTAGTTATATAGCTTCTGCATTAATTGGCGGGAAATAAACACCTTTCTCCCTCTCCGCAATCAGCAAACTTCACTTTGTCTGTCGGCATTCAACAATGGAGGAAGTAGAGCTTTCCTCCGACAAGTTTTCGGACGGAAACCCGCTTCGGAAAATGGACAAACAAACGAACCCGAGCAAGCAGCGCAGCGTGTCGCTCATCGGACTTTTCGCTGCTGCCGATAAGGCGGACTATTTGTTAATGTTTTTGGGAAGTGTTGGGGCTTGTATCCATGGTGGTGTGCTTCCTGTGTTCTTTGTTGTTTTTGGTCGTATGATCGATTCGTTAGGGCATCTGGCAAAGAATCCGCAGCAACAGTCTGCCCGGGTTTCCGAGGTAAGATCAAACGTTTCAGACTAGGTTTTTGCAATCCTTTTTGTGCGATGATGTTCAGTTTCGAGATATGTATGTGAGGTTACTCTTTTCTTTCATTTGCAGTATGCTTTGTACTTGGTATATCTTGGACTCGTTCTCTTCGCATCAGCATGGATTGGTACGTTTCGGAAACTTCACTTCTCGAATTAGTTATACGAGCATCAGTAGCAGCAGACATGAGCGTAGCCAAGTTGATTAAGTATGAGTATCCTTGCTGACGCTTTAATTTTCAGGTGTAGCATTCTGGACACGAACGGGGGAGAGGCAGACAGCGCGTTTGCGAATGAAGTACCTCCAGTCAGTTCTAAACAAGGACATAAATTTTTTCGACACTGAAGCCAGAGACACTAACATTATTTTCCACATTTCAAGTGATGCAATTCTAGTGCAAGATGCAATAGGTGACAAGGTAATCCGCAACCAAAACCGTTGTGAAATCTCTCGAAGAGCGTACTTAGAGTAGCGTAATGTAACATTGTTCCTTGTATCTTCTGAATGCAGACCGGCCATGCGTTGCGCTACCTTTCGCAGTTCCTTATCGGATTTGCCATCGGGTTTACATCAGTATGGCAGCTTACGCTTCTGACGTTGGCTGTGGTTCCGTTCATAGCTATTGCAGGTGGAGCTTATACTATAATCATGTCTACCTTATCCGAAAAGGGTGAGGCTGCTTATGCAGAAGCCGGCAAGGTTGCTGAAGAGGTACACTGTTCTCGGTATTTCTCGTTATCTTACAAATCTTGCCGCTAATGTAGCCTATTTTGGTCTCACATTTTGCATGTACCAGGTTATTTCACAGATTCGTACTGTGTACTCATTCGGGGGAGAGGACAGAGCCATTGAAGCATACTCAACCTCACTGAACAAGGCCCTCAAGCTGGGAAAGAAGAGCGGTGTTGCGAAGGGAGTTGGCGTAGGGTTTACATATGGGCTGTTGTTTTGCGCTTGGGCATTGCTTCTGTGGTACGCCGGCATACTTGTAAGGCATCACGACACGAACGGAGGGAAAGCATTCACAACTATCCTCAATGTCATCTTCAGTGGATTGTAAGTCCACTCCAAATTATGTGCGCATTTACTATTTCCCCTTTCGTGATTAAAAGCAGACCTTTTTCTTGTGTAGTGCTCTCGGCCAAGCTGCTCCAAACCTTGCTGCAATTGCAAAGGGTAGAGCTGCTGCTGGTAATATCATGACGATGATTGATTCGGATTCCAATTCCTCTAAGGTATCGGACAATGGAATAGTGTTGCCGAAAGTATCTGGGCAGATTGACTTCTGTGAGGTTGGTTTCGCCTATTCTTCACGACCAAACATGGTGTTTGAGAATTTGAGCTTTTCGATTGGAGCTGGCAAGACATTTGCAGTTGTTGGTCCTAGTGGTTCAGGAAAGAGCACTGTTATATCCATGATTCAGCGATTCTACAACCCCGTTTCAGGTATATATTATTTCGGGTCCTGTCTAATAACCATTTCGTTTTTTGTTTTGAGGTCTAAATCATAAACCACTTTTTGTCAGGTAAAATACTGTTGGATGGACATGAACTCGGAACTCTCCGACTGAAATGGTTACGAGAACAGATGGGATTGGTAAGTCAAGAACCGGCATTGTTTGCGACTACTATAGCCGGCAACATTTTGTACGGTAAAGAAGACGCAGACATGGATCAGATCATGGAAGCTGCTAAAGCTGCAAATGCACATTCTTTCATTGAAGGATTGCCTGATGGCTACAACACTCAGGCAGGAGAAGGAGGAACTCAGCTTTCCGGAGGGCAAAAGCAGCGCATAGCTATTGCAAGAGCAGTGCTGCGAAACCCAAAAATACTACTTTTAGATGAGGCCACAAGCGCTCTTGATGCAGAATCAGAACTAATCGTTCAGCAGGCACTCGAGAAAATCATGTTGCATCGAACTACAGTCATCGTTGCTCATCGGTTGTCCACTATCCGGGATGTGGACACAATCGTTGTCTTGAAGAACGGTCAGGTTGCTGAGAGTGGCAACCATTCAGACTTGATGTCCAAGAAAGGGGAGTATGCAAATCTGGTGAGCTTGCAGGTACTGGAACATGTTAAAGATTCTGGCTTAGTATCTGGACATTCTTCGAGAGAATCCAGCTTTCGCGATACCACGAGTAACTATCCGCAGGAGGACAAGGCAACCACAACCAAACAGCAGAAGCCAAGTGATCAAAACAGCTCTGCTCCTACTGCATCAGTGTGGGAATTAGTGAAACTAAATGCGCCCGAGTGGCCTTATGCAATACTCGGGTCACTTGGTGCAGTTCTGGCCGGCATGGAAGCTCCTCTTTTCGCCCTTGGAATAACTCACGTCTTGACAGCGTTTTACGCTCCTAGTGGCTCTCAAATCAAACATGATGTTGATAGGATAGCTCTCATATTTGTTGGCTTGGCTGCTCTTACTGTCCCAATATATCTCCTGCAGCACTACTTTTATACATTGATGGGGGAGCGGCTCACAACTCGCGTTCGCTTATTAATGTTCAAAGGTTCTTCTCGACCTCAAAGATCAATTCATGTTTTCATTTCTCATGTAATGCACATTACAAAATCAATCAAATCTGAGAACTCGTTCTTGTTTCGACTGCAGCTATCCTTTCAAACGAAGTTGGTTGGTTTGATTTGGATGAGAATAACACCGGAGCACTGACATCAACTTTAGCAGCAAATGCAACATTAGTGCGAAGCGCTCTAGCTGACCGTCTATCAACAATCGTGCAGAATCTCGCACTCGCAGTGACTGCTTTCGCTATTGCTTTCACCTTAAGTTGGCGTATTGCAGCTGTCGTGAGTGCCTCCCTCCCTCTACTTATCGGAGCTTCCATAACTGAGGTCAGAATAAAAACAACCACGACATTGTTAAAAGCTGCATATTGTTTATGTTTCAATTGTTTTTATCCTGAATCCAACGTATGTTTGGTTTTCTTGATCTGTATGCGCAGCAACTGTTTCTGAAGGGATTCGGAGGGGACTACAACCATGCCTACTCAAAAGCAACTTCCGTGGCACGCGAAGCGATTGCCAACATACGTACTGTTGCTGCATTTGGTTGCGAAGAACGGATATCGCTCCAGTTTTCCTTGGAACTAAACAAGCCAAACAAGCAAGCAGTTCTAAGAGGCCACATATCAGGTTTCTGCTACGGTTTATCGCAGTTTTTCGCGTTCTGTTCTTATGCGCTTGGCCTTTGGTATGCATCAGTACTAATCAAGGATAAAGACTCGAATTTCGGAGACATCATCAAGTCCTTCATGGTCTTAATAGTCACGTCACTGAGTATTGCAGAAACCCTAGCTCTCACACCAGAAATTATGAAGGGATCGCAAGTGCTCGGCCCAATTTTCAGTATCCTAAAGCGAGAAACGGCCATACATCGTAATGATCCCAGATCAAATGTTGTTGCTAATGTCAAAGGAGATATAGAGTTCAGGAATGTGAGTTTCTGGTACCCTGCAAGGCCGGATATCACCATTTTCGACCATTTGAATTTACGGGTTTCAGCAGGAAAGAGCCTTGCAGTAGTCGGGCCAAGTGGTTCTGGGAAGAGTACGGTGATTGCACTGGTAATGAGATTTTATGACCCCGTTTCTGGTACGGTTCTAATTGATGGATACGATATCAGAAGTATGAACTTGAAATCGTTGAGGAAGAGAATAAGTCTAGTTCAGCAAGAGCCGGCATTGTTCTGCACAACAATTTATGAGAACATAAAGTATGGGCACGAGGAAGCATCGGAAGTAGAGGTAGTGACAGCGGCGAAAGCAGCGAATGCACACGGTTTCATAAGTCGAATGCCTGAAGGGTACAAAACGCAAGTGGGAGAGAAAGGGGTGCAGTTATCGGGAGGGCAGAAACAGAGGGTGGCAATTGCCAGAGCAATACTGAAAGATCCGTCGATTCTTCTTCTGGACGAAGCAACAAGTGCATTGGACACAGAGTCTGAGAAGCTGGTCCAAGAGGCTCTTGATAAGCTAATGGAGGGCCGAACGACGATCTTGGTAGCACACCGGTTGTCAACTATTCGTGATGCCAACCGTATCGCCCTGCTACAAAATGGTAGGGTGGCTGAAATGGGAAGCCACGAGCAGCTGATTGGAAGACCTGGTAGTCTCTACAAACAATTAGTTAGTCTACAGCAACAAAAGACACAAGCGACTGATTAATTCAAAGGCATTATATGATAAACTTCCTATGAATTTTTTCGATTACAAACTGCATAATTTTTTCGAGGGATGTACTAATAAAGACCGCTATTGTATGCTTTTCTCTTTTGAAGCTTCTGTATAATATGGTATTGAACTGTGAACTATGTTATACAGACATTATCCAGAAAGAGTTCGATGCAATATATGAGAAAGACGGAGAAATGCATGTGTTAGCAAAGCTAACTGTCACTTAAATACATGAACATAAGTCTTAAACAAACCATCTAAAGCTATCACATGAATCCATAAAATGTCAGTACATACTATACATACACCACGGTTTGCTGCTTCCGCAAGGACTTCGAGTACAGAGGAGGTAGCGGTGAAGAAAGGTCGGCAGTCAGCAAATCAGCTCATAAATCTACTTGTTCCTTCACAATATGAAGCAAGCCCTTTGCCCCTTTCTCTTCTTCTTTTGCTTCGGTGGCTGAAGCACCACCTTAATGGCCACATCAAAAACAGCTTTCACATTCTGCAATTAAAATTTTCAAGGAATCATGTCAACAACGACGGGTGAAGACATATGACAAATTTGGCGAGAGGGAAGACAAAAAAGCCTTCATACCTGTTGTGTTTTCGAGCTACACTCAATGTATGCAGGCGCTCCAATCAGTTTCTTCATTTCCTCTCCCTTTAGGCCAAAAAGAAAATCAAAGGTCAGTAGACCAACTTAGAAAGATATTATTTAGGTTTAGAGGTGAAGCAGTAGCCTTACCTGATCAGTAGTAATGGGAACTGCACCAGAATGGTCTATACAAAATTGTTTATCATCCCGAAGATCTGCAAATGAAAATCATAAAATTGAGCACCTCGTTCATCAAACGAGTAAGAAAATTCTGTAGTAATAAGTGATAACAATAACGCTCCAGATAATGATAAGAAATGTTGACTCATGAACAGGAATAAAAGTGATAATTGCTAAACGACTAAGTATCCAAAACATCAATCTTAAAACAGTCCGGTATTGAAGACAATATCAAAACTAAGAGCTAGTATTCAATGCAGGCTCAAAGAAATTTAGAAGTAACTGAACCGTGACACGGATCCTACATGGAAGAAATGGGAAGTTTAAACATCAATAGTCCCAAAAATTACAGGGACTCTAAAGCATTAGATCAGACACCAGCACAAACATACATTACAAAGGGGGTTTAGAAAAAAGATCTTACCGAGCTTTGTTCCAACCAGAATTATTGGAACACCAGGTGCATAATGGCGCAGTTCAGGAATCCACTGAAACGGAAAACAAAATCAAACAACTCATACACACACCAAACATTGTGTATTGAAATTATTGCAAACATAGATACTAAGAAAGTAAACAGGATTGTAAAGAAGATTTGGAACCTTTTTTGCAACGTTTTCGTAGCTGGCTTTGCTTATGAGAGAGAAAGCAAGGATAAAAACGTCCGCCCCTCGATAGCTCAATGGTCTTAATCTATTGTAATCCTCCTGCCCTGTTAGAAAACAGTTATTAAAACTCCCAAAATACAGGGAAAAACAAAAACAAAATGAAACGAAATCGCATATATAACAGGGGCGTGAGGGGTAAAATCACCAGCTGTATCCCATAGAGCCAGGTTGACAGTACTCCCATCCACAACAACATTTGCACTGAAATTGTCGAAAACAGTCGGTACATAGTCCTGTTTTTCGATTACAACCACACTCTTAGTCAATTATACGAAAATCCAAGTTCAACTACATGAATTAGCACGATAACAACTTCAAAAGAAACGAATCCTTCGGCTAATGAAACACAATACAGACACCAATGCATCATAATGTGGAGCAACAGAGATTTAACAACAATTAAGCATACTTAGAATCATCTTCGGAAAAATTAATGTTGTTCTTCAGCTAACCAAGGTTTTAAAAGACGCTAGGCGCCATTCGGGCGGCAGGCTGGCGCCTAGCGCCTAGGCGGGGCCTAAACCGGTGCCTAGGTGGATTTATGTAAATCTATTATATTTCATATAAATAATGTCAGTTTATACTTAAAATATAAACAATTTCATCGTAAACTACAAAATAGAATAACGTATATATTGTAAAGTATTGAAACATGGTGAAAACATAGTAAACAAGCATATATTGTGTGTTCGTTTAAGTCTACAACAAATCTCTTACAATTTATTGAAAAAAAACCATAAAATACAAAATAAAAATTATCTATTTTCTGTTTAAGTGAGTAGCAACCTAGGCAAGTGTCTAGATAGGTCTGGACAGGCTAGACGGGTCTAAACGGACGCCTCAGCAGGACTAAACGTGATTTCTTAATTTTCAAATACCTGGACATTAATCAAGATGGTGGCCGACAGCATGGATTTTTACAACAGTGCAGCTAACTAAATCAAGGTTTGAACTTTAGCGAAATATAATCAATGTTAGACCTTTGTGTATGATTATGCTAGCAGCTAAGCATATAAGACAAAATCCGGGAAATTGCCGTGGAAGAACTAAGAAGCAAGAACTGAAGCAGACGAGCATGCAATTGTACTGGAATGGGAGCAAGGAAGGCGGTGAAATTACGAAAATGGGACTGACCGTGGGAAAGGTGTTGCTGGTGTAGGAAATCAGCATGCAGGTTTTGCCGACGGCGCCGTCGCCGACCGTCACGCACTTTATGAACCTGGAGGCGCTCATTTCAGTTTCCAATTTTCAATGTTTCCACCTAGAGATCGAAGCAGCAGATCTCCGCCCGAAAATATCTCCTTTTCCGTCGCTTCTACTTCCTTCTGAGGTCACCAAGACGCCATCTTGCTAGCAGAAACCCTAATTCGGAAAGAGGGAGAGGGTGTGGGAATGGGAGTGGGAGTGGGAGTGGGAGTGAGAAGAAATTGAAATTTGAAAGAGGGAGGACGAGGGGAGTCAAAAAGTCAAAACCGTGGTGGAAGCGCTGCTGGCTGACCTAGCCATTAGCCAAGCCAAGCTTTTGCCAGCTGGCACACCTCCCTAGGTTCCCTTATCTGCTTATCTTTTTACTTTTTGCTTTTTTCCTTTTTTTGGTTCAAATTCAAAAAATAAGAATAAAAATCTTGTTTTGGTTTCAAAATTTTTTTGGATGAATCCAGGGGGAAGGGGGGACTAATCCCTCGAGCCGGATCGGAGCTTATTCGAGGCGTCCGGGGGTGGAGTAAACTCTTCTAAAGCTGGCATCTTTATTCACAAGGTTTGAACTCAAGATCTTGTTTAAGGGGAACAAACTCCTTTCCACTTAAATTGTGTATGCAACGTCAACAAATTGAGAATTTTGTTAGTGTGTAAGGAATAAAGTCTAATAATCAAGTGTCATAATACAAATAATTGATTTTGTTAGTGTGTAAGGAACAAACTCCTTACCACTTGAATCTCCTTTTCAGTAGTTTAAAGTAAAATATTATTTATGTAAAATAGATGGATTAATTGACTTGAAAATTGCAAATTGTTTAATGAAATCTGAATTTTGAAATCTAAATTACGGGACAATAGTTACAAGTCCATTATAATTTTAAGTTTTTTTTTGTCGAACACCGTCGTTGAGTTATCTATTAATCTCTCTCTTTTCTAGCATTTTTAATTTATCCCTTGTGGATAAAATTGAAAGTATACAGACTGTTTATTAGTTGAGGCAAAATTCGACAACATATAGGTGTCAAATAGGCAAAACTTACCCCTATAATCGTTTTTGTAACGAAATGTGCTTACGAGCTCTTAAACCAATGATCGTGACATGATATTGCCACGGTTGTGACTTGCATTGCCTCGTCCTCTCCAATCGATATCCCAAAAGCTAAAAAGTGAAAAAAGTTTCATATTTCATGCCCAAATAAAAAAATTTGCCTCTCTCATCCACATCTTACCGAAGTTTTTTTCTTATCTACTCTCTATCTCCAAACTTGGATTCTTCGTCTCTTTACTATAACTAACCCTTCTTCATCGTTAATGTCTATTGAACACTTTGGGTTTTTAATTTGAAAGTTCTAAACTTTTCTAGTAGCTTTGATTAAATTATGGACCATTTTATTGAGATTGAGAACTTAAGAAGAACCCCTTACGCCTTTTGAATGTTACAACATGGTGGCCCCAAGTGGAAAAACGATGCATGGAAAGTACATGAGCCACAAATTTGTGGAATTTTTAGTAGCATCGAAGTATGGTTTCGGTGGCGGATGTACATTGTGATTGAAATTGTCTCATAATTACTCGGGGTTTAGGAAATATACAGGTGAAGGTTTTTCGAGGATCTTTTGAATGTTTAGTAATGATCCCTTTTGTGCCCACCAAGTATTTGATGTAATGTCTGCTAGTATATCTCAGCAACACTCAACAAGTTGCGGCGAGAGTACTCAACAAAATTTCTCAATAACACTTATCAGATTGCTTTGGCATATATCGGTATCTGTTGACATGTACGCAATATGGGCGACAATAAATTACTAAGTGTTCGACCAAATACCTTAATAAATAAATAAATTTTTTTTTTACACGTTTCCGCTCTAATTCTATATAAAAACTTAGACCTTCCAATGTTCGCATTCTGCTACTACATAATTTACAACAAAATTTTTTAATGGTGAATTCTTTTTCGTTGAATACTTGATTGGAAATTCAACCATCACATCATACACTGAGTCATGGTACAATTTTCACGAATTTACAATGTTGGGTGGTGACGTGTATAGGCAACACTGTAGCCTGGTCGATCTTCTCCTGATCTAAGAATTTTGAAATTCTTAAATTATGCAACTAATTTTCGTCAGGTACTATTTATATTTAATTTTAAATAAAAATATTTAAAATAATTTATTACTGTAAATGCATGATAAACAAACATAATTTAAAAATTCCTAATATCCTCACAAATAAGATAGGAAAGGAACCTCTTTCAATATCGAAAGGCAGTAGCTCGGACTTATCCAAGATTAGTCACATTAGGTGTACCAAATCTTTTATTTGGCGGCAATTTCCTTTATGGAAAAAAATATGGTTTTATGGTTAGGTGGGTAAGATTTTTGTATGAAAAAAATGACTTGGCCGTCAAATATTCAAATGTAAAGGTCCGGGTCAACGTGTATCGCCCTGTGTTTGGTAATATATATTGTTTGTCCTCTTGTGTTTTGTTCTTAATTAAAACATTTAATTTACAAATTGCAAACTAACCATGTATTTTCTTTTGGATTTTGGTAATATTGTAAGATTTGACGTAACTCAGCAATCAAGATCAAGATAAAGTTAATGAACGATCATGGGATGAATTAGTGGTTGAGAACGAATTTCAGGTTCATCAATCGTGGGCGTCTGACTGCGTCTTGATCCCTATCCAATTTTTGGGCCAATTCCCCATTCGTACTACAAAAAAATGAGATTCTTGCAGGGTCATGAGAAAGTTGAAATGCTTCTGTGAGTCTTCTTGACTCTTAAAAATGTGAAGTACCGTGACAACACCACCGGTTGATCCCCCGCTTCTTCTATTAGAATTCAAATGGAACACTCAAAAATAACCCTTGTCAAACATCGAGTACATAATCTAGGATGCAAACCATGTTTAAGTGCTATATCGTTTGCAATAATTAAAAACCTCTTTTTATTAGACTTCTCTACACCAATTTAAATTATAATAGTCGACTAACAAACATTCTCTCCTCGTATTCTAACTATTTCAATTAATCTAAAAAATTGTCACTATTTTTTCAATTAGGTAAACGTGACAAATTCACCGTAGAACGTGGAAATTATGTAATATATTAGTCCTGGTGGCTCTATGTTATTATATATAATATAGTTTTGAACAGTCTCATATGCATATAATATTTTCTATGGAGCATCAGCATACCGGTTTTAAAAAGTCCAAAGCTTTGAAGTTTGAAAGGTTGAATGATGATCAAGAAGGGCTAACTACTATTGATTTTATCATCTACATTGTTCTTCCGAAAACTCATTAGGTTCTAATTACCGAGACAGTTGCGATGAAGTGCTTTTGAGCTCCACTTGTCCGTTCAAAACTGAGATGCCAGAACCAGCTCTTGGTTGGCCACTTCGCCGGAAACTTGATAGCTTCGACATGTTTTCCGAGAGAGAGGATGATGAATCACCATTGTCGAGGCCGGGTTGGCCGCTCTTGCGGATAGCTGCTGCCTCAGCGGAAGCTATGAGTACTACTCCTATGAGAGAATTTAAATCCAGGGAAAATATGTCCGTGGTACAGTGGGTGATGATGGACCTGCCTAGCCGTCGATTTCTTTCGGTAAATTCACAGCCGCAGGAAGGTGATGAAAATTGCTTGACAGTAGCACCAACACAGCTTTCCGATGAATTGGAGATTCTTGTTGCAGAAAACTCAGCAGGTTGCAGACTTTTCAGCTATGCAGAAATCAGTAGCGCAACTTGTCACTTCTCTGCAGGTATATTAAGTGCTCGTTTGGGATTACTTTCGTAAGAAAAAACTACTGCTCATAAGTGCTTTTATTCAAAATGCTTTCTTGCTCGCAAGAATTTAAACAATTGGTTTGTGAACAGAAAATCTTATCGGTGAGGGAGGGTGTAGCAGCGTATACAGAGGATGTCTCGAAGGAGGTGAATCAGTGGCGGTCAAGGTTCTGAAATCGTACAAGGAAGCTTGGGATGACTTTTTCTTGGAAACCAAGTTTGCGTCTTCAATTCAGCACAAACACATCGCTTCTCTACTTGGTGCATGTGTGGAAGATGGCAACCTTATTTTGGTATATGACCTCTTTCCCAGAGGGAGCTTGGAAGGAAACTTGTACGGTAAGAAATTAGAACGAAGTGGTTATCAAACGGGCTCTAGTCATTTGAAATTCAAACGAAGTGCTCGTCACTTGTCTGAATTCGAATTTCATTTCATCTTAGTGCAGATTGCAGTGATGGATGTATACTCCCATGGGAAGTGAGATTCAATGTGGCTGTTGCGGTTGCAGAGGCTCTAACTTACTTGCACAATGAATGCACTCAACCGATCATTCATCGCGATGTTAAATCCTCAAACATTCTTCTCTCCGACGAGCTTCAGCCGCAGGTATATCCATATATGATCTGCCCGCCGTACATTTATGTTTCACTTTCTTTCCAAAATTGTACATTTTTGTGTTGAATCCCGAGTTTATTTTGGTTTGCAGTTATCTGATTTCGGGCTTGCTACATGGGGACCGACGGATTCTGGTTATGTGATAAGTAGTGATGTGGTGGGGACTTTTGGGTACATTGCTCCGGAATATTTCATGCATGGGATGGTGAGTGACAAGATTGATGTTTATGCCTTTGGTGTGATTCTCCTTGAACTATTATCCGGTCGAAAGCCCGTAGATGAGGCTTCGAAAGGACAAGAGAGTTTGGTCAAATGGGTAAGCATTCAATGTTTGTATAGCTTCCGATCCTCTACTCTTTTTTTTTTGTGCATTCTCCTCTGATCTAAAGTTCTTTGATACAGGCAAGAAATTTGTTAGACGTTATGGATCTTAAATCATTGCTGGATCCAAAGTTAAATGGGGACTACGATGTTGCCCAAATGCGCAGAATGGTAATGGCAGCAGGGCTTTGCATAAACCAGTCACCTCGTCTTCGACCGAAAGCGAGCCAGGTACTGAAGCTACTAACGGGAGAGACGGACGCAAATGAGTGTTTTAATCTTCATGCTGTCAAGTCGAGAGAGATGTGTTGTCGAGATGAAGACGACGACCTATTCCCGGAAGTCGGGTGGCGTTCGGTTTCTGCAATGTCCGATACAAATGATGGTAGCATCAGCAGATCGAGTTCAACAAACACAGCATCTAGTGCAGAGAAACCACACCGATACAAGTTAAAGGACTACTTGACTATACCTGACCATTATTCTTTGAGTGAAATTTCTTTCATAAACATGTAAATATACATACATACATATATATATATATATATACACATACATATACACACATACATATATATACAAAATAGACCGATGTTTTTTGTATGAATTAATTGATAAAATCAATTAACGAACGAATAAATCAGTGTTTAGTTGATGCTCAAACAACTGTACAGTTTAAAACCGCTAGTGCTGCCACAAAAGATGGAAGAAACACAGTAGAACGGAACCGTGTAGGGCAATGCACATATGGCGCCCTCAGGCAACAATTGTGCTTTCGGCCACTGCGTGCTACTTGTATGACATGAGACCTCGCTATCAGTTTTTGACCTTTTAGACCAGCATCTGATTTGTGACTGTGTCCCAAAGAGGCATTCTTCGTCATCAGTACCGTCGATTCTCTGTCAGATTTCCACTCTGAATCTTCTCTCCCAACACTCTTTTCACCAATACTTTTGATCCCGTCTGATGTTGTACTGGACAAAGCTTGGTCACATTGTGGAGCAAGTCCTGGAAGTCCAACAGTTGCCTTTGAACTAGGAGGTTGATTGGGTGCAGGCACAACTCGTGCCCTTTCTGGAGGGAGGAAATCTGCCCTTCCGGAAGAAGAGGGCGCAGGTGAGGCATCTGGTTCCCAGGGCTTTCGCAATTTAATGCGAATGATCAAAGGTACTGTCACTTTTCTTTAGGAAACTGTACCAATGGTATTTCAATTTTAATCGACTTAGAGTAATCATTTCTTAACTAAAAATTCATGACCACTGGTCTCTTGACTTGTCAAAACGTACATCTATGATCATTTTTGTCAACTCCGTTAGAACTTCCGTCAAAACGAAAATCTCACTTGAACTAAAAGTCCATGACGAAATTCTCACACTTGACCTAGTTACTAGGCTTTCGTCTCTTTTTGGGTTTGACTTGTTTTATTTGGGCTTTTTCGGAAACAAGGGCTCCTAAACCCAACTGAAAAAAAATCAATATTTTTAGGAATCGTATACCTGCCGACACCAAAACCCTGATTAAACCCCAACAGGCTTCTTCCATTTCAACGAAACCCAGAAGTTGGAGACTTGCGAACGATTTTACAGTGATCCGATTCGTTCACCATGAGAAGGATTAGCGGAATCGCTTTGCTCACCAGAGCCGCCGTTTCTATGGGCGGCGCCACCACAGCCACCTCCGCAACTCAGCACCGTCTGGTTCAAGCAGCGATGTTGAGCACGTGCTCGAATTCCAATCCGCTGTGGTTCACACAGAGACTCGGCGATCGCTTCGGCCTATCGAGACCCTCCACTGCGGCTCCCTGTGCCGGAGGGCACGTGTGCTTCCACAAACGCCGCCGCTTATCTGGCTCAGGAGCCGCACGCCCATGAAAAGTTCCTCTCCAAAGACGTCGAGCTCTACCAGTACGAAGCTTGCCCTTTCTGCAACAAGGTTAGAGGTAAAGTATCTGGAATTCATTCTTGAAGATGAAATTTTGCAACTTTCACTTTCTAATTTGGTCACTGTATGATTTGGGAATCGGAATTCCACCAAAATTGATCTTATTTTGGAAATTAAAGGAGTCTGCTTTTGGATTGCGCTTTCGATTTTATGCTATTTGATTGTTTCCGCCATTGAATTTTTCCTGTATCACAGCATTCCTGGATTACTATAACATTCCGTACAAAGTTGTGGAGGTTAACCCCATTAGCAAAAAGGAGATTAATTGGTCCGATTACAAGAAGGTGCCAATCCTGAAAGTCGACGGCGAACAGATGGTTGACTCTTCAGGTTCTTGGACATTTTGTTATTTCCTTACCATTTTGTATCTTCCTGATGCTGGATGCTGTAGTTATTAACCATATCCAATTTCAGATTAAGTTCTTTGTGTATCGTTAAGTTTCCATGTTTTGTTTTGTGTTCACAGATATAATTGATAAGCTGTACCTAAGGATCAACGAGAACCCCGTTTTAAATGGTGAAGAAGAAATGAAGTGGCGCGGGTTAGTTTTTGCTTTCACTATTCTACTTTGTAAACCTTTTTTTTTTTGCACCGTACTAAGGCTCGATACAATAAGAGATATCTCTTGCAGTGACTAGATTTCACTTTGAAACTTTTATTTTGTTTGGTGTTGGGATCACGCGGTTCTTGGCATGGTAATAACTGATTAGTTGCGATGTAGGTGGGTGGATAATCACTTGGTGCATGTTTTATCACCAAACATATATAGAACTGTTTCAGAGGCTCTCGAGTCGTTTGACTACATCACCAGTCATGGTATGATATCGCACCACTTCATTACTGATTTCATTTCTCTTTTGTTTCCAAAATCCCAAATCGGCAGTTATTTATAAACACCTTTCACAAGAGATCTGTTTGTGGAAGACTCTGGCTCAATTAGCGTAAGTTGTTTGTGTGAATTTGTACATCTGTGGTGTTTAGTATTGATGCTGTTATTCGCGATTGGAAGCCTCTAACTCTCATATGTGATTTGAGTAACTAGAATTTTCTTAAACCTACAGCAACAAATGCTCAAAAGTCTCAATTCGGTTCCTTCTGACTGGAACTTAGTTAATTCCAATCCTCCAAAGTCACTTTGGAGCTTGTGCTTAAAGCTGGCTTACCATTGATTTTAAGCAATCCAAGTTCTTTCCCTTAAATGCTTAAATCTCTTGAATTCTCTTACATGTAGGAAACTTTAGTCTGTATGAAAGGATGGTAGCGAAGTATACCGGAGCTGCTGCTATGTATTTTGTGTCAAAGAAACTGAAGAAGAGGCACAATATTACTGATGAACGTGCATCCTTGTATGGAGCTGCAGAAACATGGGTTGATGCTCTCAATGGCAGACAATTTCTTGGTATGCTTATCTGAAACATCATATTTGATAAACTTAAGACTTACCTTATGATTAGAACTAAGAAATTATCGGATAATCTTGTCTTTGATCAGGTGGATCAAATCCTAATTTAGCCGATCTTGCTGTATTTGGTGTTTTGAGGCCCATTCGACACCTTAAATCCGGCAAAGATATGGTGGAGAACACGCGGATTGGTGAATGGTATGCTCGCATGGAAAATGCAGTGGGAGAGTCTGCTAGAGTCAAGGCCTAAAGGCGGAAAAGATTTGCTGGTTCGGATATCACTAATAAATGATACATTGTTTGAACTTTACCTAGTATGTTACTAGTAATATGCATCATCAAAGATTCAGACTTTGCAAGAAGGTTTTTGTTTGTTTGTTTTTAGGTGTTATGGTTTGGATCATTTGGGTCGGAACATGTAGAAGTCATTGTACTGGGACAAATAATTGGACCACGAACAAGCTCAGTCAAGTTTTCCATAAAAAGATGTATCTAGGTCCTCATTTACTTTTCAAATAAATTTCTAATTACAAGCATCCGAACCCAATAGTTATATAATTAAAGTATCGACAATATCAATAATAATACAACGGATTGGTAATCAATAATGTCTCAATATGCTGGTTGGAGTAGTTAGAAGCATATAGCTATCTTATGAAGATTGTAGTAGATGCACGGCAACCCCTACTCACTGCCGTTCAACATATAAGCCTCCTTTTAGGGCATCTCCGCTCGTTTTTGGAGGGCAAGGATAAAGGCAGTGGCAGTGAAATTGCTCTTACTATTCACTATAAACAGTAATTATCTTTGATCCAATCTTCTTCTGGAACCGTTGGAGCTGAATTATTCAACTCTAAGGCCATCTCCAACCGATGGCTGGCCAGAGGGCTCGTTTTAGCCCTCTGGCCCTCCAAGATTCTCCAAGATATTAATATTTTAATGAACAGTACAGGGTCATATTTGCCTCCGTCTCCAACCGAGGGCCAGAGGGCTCGTTTTAGCCCTGTCACAAAAAACCGTCTCCAACCGAGGGCCAAAGGGCCATAGAGCCAAACATAATTTATTATTTAAAAACTACAACTTAATTTTATTTAAAAATCATGTTGGTTAGTGTTGTATAATTTTTATGTTGGTTAATGTTATTTAATGTTGTTTCATATTGTTTAATGTTGTTTCATGTTACTTAATTTAATTTAATGTTGTATAATGGCTTAGGAAGTTATAGGAAAAAAATAGAATTTAAAAAAAATATGAAACAAATTTTGTGAATAGAAGTTATAGGAAAAAAATGGAATTTAAAAAAAATATGAAAACAAATTTTGTAAATAGAAGTTATATGAAAAAAATATGAACCAAATTTTGTAAAAATATAAGTTATAGGAAAAAAATAGAATTAAAAAAATTGAAACAAATTTTGTAAAATAGAAGTTATAAGGAAGTTATAGAAAAAAAAAGAAAAAAAAAGGTTTAAATTCATAAAAAAAAAAAAAAAAAAAAAGGTTTACAACGGCTAGTGGCGCTAGCCGTTGGAAGTTTAAAATTCAAATTGTTATTTCTGTCGGTTATAACCGACAGAAATGAGAAACATTAAAAAAAAAATAGCCAGCCCTCCAGCCCTCTCCGATCTCGTGGGACCCTCCCAGATTCCAGAGCCCTCTGGCCTAGCCCTCGGTTGGAGACGGTTTTAGGGCTATTTTCGGCCCTCTGGCCCTCTGGACCCTTCGGTTGGAGATGGCCTAAGGCTGTTTAACCCAATTGGCAGGGCAAGAGCATTACGGCGGAGATGCTCTTACGGAGAGAGAAATTTAAATCACTATATTTTGGATGAAAAAATAAATATTTAAATAAATTTGACAAAATCAGAATTTATTATAAATTGACAAACTTTTTTTGTTTGGATTCATTTTAAAAAAATATGTTAGAAATTTATAATTAACTTTGAAAAAAAAAATTCCGTATTCAATTTATTGTGAAATTTAGGGTTAACCAAATAAGAAAATTCACAAATTCTAAGAAAATTCAAAATAAAATCCGATCATTTCAATTACCATTATTTTAAAATTTCGTAGTTTTAAATTTCTTCATCCAAACATAATGTTAGTGATGACTACGTTATCTCCTCATATCTTCATCTTTTATCATGAAAAAAGTTTTCATCAATCATCATCAAACACCTATAAGATTGTTAATCCTTACCGTAATACATGTGAATGCGTGGCATCTTCTAATTAAGCAGAAATCGAACAAAGCCAGACCAACATGGTAATGGTACAACAACGTGAAAATGTAATCTTGGTGGTACCCCTATTTGCAACATGGTTTTAGTATGTAGATTGTTAAAAAAAGCGTGAATTGAATTGGTTGAAATTTACAAAAATAGGAAACAGGGAATGGATAGAAATGCTATTCTTCAGCCCTTCCGATGACCAACTTTCCACGCTCCGATCCATCTCTCCCCTCCTCCCTCTCCCTTTTCCCCTCTCTCTCTCTCTCTCTCTCGACTTTATGAAATTCTGTGACCCCCTTCTGTCCCAAATCTGCATGTCGTCGTTTTCCACCCCCACATCTGTCTCCCCTTTTGGGGGCAACAGAGAAAAAGACTCTCAAAGCTCCTAACTTTCTTTATTAATTAACCCTTTTTTTAGTTCCTTAATTAGAATTAATTAGTCACAATTAATTTATATTAAGAAAGATTTGTCCGTTTCCTCTCTATATATAAACCACTCTTCCAGTAAAACCAGAAACTCAAAGCAACAAAGAAGGCAAAGGTTATGCCAACAAAGAGAGAGGGAGAGAGTCTAGAGAGAGAGAGAGAGAAAGAAAGGGTCATGCATCTTTTCTGATATAACAAGAACATTGAACCCTCCTGCTTTTCTAAACCTACCCCATCTCGTTTCGTATTAAAAAGTCCCATGAAATATGTGAAGGCAGAAGATTAAGCTTGTCTGAGAAAAACATGGCAGTTCAGGCACAAAGTTTGTATTTTTCTGAAGATTGGTCGTCGGCGGCGGCGCTGCTCCACCCTGTTTCCGGCCTCGACGACATATTTTCCGGCATTCCGAGCCCTCCTCCTCCTCAAAATCACTTTCACCTCCGTCTTCCGGCGGCACAGAATCAGAGTCAGAATTTAAACACGACGGGCTTTGATTTCTGCAACCCATTAGGAGCTTCGGTTTCGCCTTCCACTTTCAGTAGCTTTCTCCCAACGCAGTTCTCGGAAAACTTAGGGGCTCTGCTGGACTTGCAAAGGCACGAGCTCGACTGCATTATTCAATTCCAGGTGATTATTGTTGTTAATTTTCTTTTTCTGTTTTTGGGTTCTTTATTTTTCATGGTGTTTGTTGTGCTAATTTTATTTGTTCTCTCTCAAAAGTTAATACAAAAAATATTTCACTTATAATTGCTTTTGCATAATAAATTTAGAGACGATGACTATAATTAAGAAAAATGTTATTGAGATCATATTTGTAAAATGTTTGATGGTCACCCAAAAAAAATAACGTTAACCAAATATTTCAATAATAATTTAATGGTTGACAAAGGGAGTTTTAACAAAATACACATGGTATGGTTATTTTTTTAATAAAAATCATATTTTTATCTTTAACTGTTACTATTTATTATACATTTAAAAATGATTTTTTGTTAAAAGAGAAGTTTTTTTTTACGTTTCAGTAGTTTTTCGTTTTAACAAAACATTTATAGTGTTGTTTATTTTTAACGAAAAATCGTATTTGTACTTTTAATTGACATTATTTACTATACCTTTAAAATTGCATTTCGTTAAAAGAGAAGTTTTTAATGAAAATAAAATTTAAAGAAAATTAATGAAAATAACTTGAAAATTTAGAATTTTAATCAAAATGATAAAATAATGTTATAAATAAAAAGTAACATGAGTGACTTTTAGGAGGAAAATTTCATTTTCTTTAAAAGTGAACAATATTGAAAATATTACTAAAACTTCTTAAAATTTAAATAGATGATGTCCAACATTAATGTGTATAGAGTGTTCTTTAGTGTTTTTATATGTTTATATTTAGTGTGATTAATTTCTAATTCAATGCTTTTTCTTTAAAAATAGAGTGAGAATTCTTTTTTTTTTTTTTGCTAGAAAAAGAGTAAAAAGTTTACTAAAATAATTTTACAAACTAAGATAACATTACCAATCTCTTCGTAATTTATATTTTCTTATAAGCAACCATGAATAAATGACACCAGCAGTGAACAAATGAGGATTTATTTTTCCTCTGAGAAAATGTTTAAAGATAACGGATACTTTTTTTCTTTCCTCATTTATTTGTTTTCTTGAAAGCAGAGTGAAAAGCTGAAGTTCGAATTGCAAGAGCAGAGGAAGCAGCAACTAGCAGCTTTGTTGAGCAACTTAGAATCCACAACGTTAAATTTAATTAGGCAGAAAGAAGAAGAGTTAGGACAGGCGACAAAGAAAGCGATGGAGCTCCAGGACTGCCTGAGAAAAGCGGAGATGGAAAGCGATACGTGGCAGCGGATGGCGAAGGCGAACGAATCAATGGTGATGGACCTGAACAACGCGCTCGAGCAGGTCAGAGAACGACTGGTTCTCGTCAGCAGCGAAACCGACGACGCAGAGTCCTGCTGTGAAAACAGAGTAGCAATTACGGAGGAAGATCAATTGGCGGAAGAGAAAAGGAGAAAGTTGGTATGCAAAAGCTGCCGCGCGCGGAGCTCGTGCGTGCTTTTTCTGCCGTGCAGGCATCTCTGTTCGTGCAAGTTCTGTGAAGGGTTTCTTGGATTTTGCCCCGTTTGTGGTTCCGCCAAGGAGGCAAGCATGGAGGTCTTTTTTGTCTAGTAGCAAGCAACAGTGCCAAGCAAAAAAGTGCTTCAAAAAAAATCATGGATTTTTAGTATATATTGGATTTTAAAGTGCGATTTTAGATTTCATCCGTCGAATTTCATGGTTTTTTTTTTAGCGGCCTTAATTTATGCAATGAATTTCCATATATTTGTGGCTTGTGTTGTGTATATATTTTGCGTTTTGAGTGGCATGGACGGAGCTAATGAAGGCTCACTTGGTTAGATGCTTCCACTTAAGTAATTCGTTTGTTTAGTTACAGATTACAATTATATAATATACATGGTAATCTTTGAAGAAAATATATGTATCTAATATTCAACATACATTCATTCTACTTATATTTAACATCAAATATTATATAAGTAATATAAGTAATAGTGTTATCATGTATTTATCTTTTTCTCATTATTTTGCCATTTTCCACAAATATATTGAAATTTTTGGAACATTGGAATTGTTATACATCATTATTTGAAACCATGCTATAATAAGGTTTTCTTAGTTATTTTCGGTTGCTCCCATTAGAATAAATTTCTGACTGTCTTAGCCAATTACAGATGAATACGTGTTTAATATATGATTAAAAAGAGAAAGGACAATACTTGTCTGCTAAAAAAATCAACAGTAACTCTTGCTGTTAGCCAATCACAGATGAATACGTGCTTAATCTATCATTAAAAAATTATTTTCTTGTACACATGTCTATTTGTGATTGACCACTAGTAGGAGTTGCTGTTGATTTTTCAGCAGCCAAATGATGTATAAAAGGAAAAATGTTTAAAAAGAAGGGTTGCTTATATGTTTAATGTCATGTAATATTTCAAATCAATAATGCAATAAAATAAGCGCGGGAGAAGCAAGCAAAGTAAAAGGTTTTGCAATAAGCAAAACGCTTTCGACATTCAATTGTCGCGGTGCGGACCGACCATAGAACTCCATTTAAAATAAAAGTATTATTAACTCGATATGTCACGGTGTCTTGCAAACTTGATGAAGGGAGGTGTCTCTCTCAAAAGAGTCTTGGCCTTATAATTCTGCATATACCTGATTTGGGTTGGCATCTCAGAGGATTTGATGCCAGAAGGAGCGTGCATGCTTTTTATACCGTGTGACAACAAGGACAAGGATTGTCTGCCCTTCATTTTCGATGTTCTTTCCGTGCTTTTCTGTTTTGTGTGATCACGATTAAATCACGTCAATATTCTATATTACTATTTATTTTTATCTTATTATATTTATAAAAAAATATAAAATATTAACGTGACTTAATCATGATCAACAACAACAACAACAACAAAGCCTTTTCCCACTAAGTGGGGTCGGCTATATGAATCCTAGAACGCCATTGCGCTCGGTTTTGTGTCATGTCCTCCGTTAGATCCAAGTACTCTAAGTCTTTTCTTAGAGTCTCTTCCAAAGTTGTCCTAGGTCTTCCTCTACCCCTTCGGCCCTGAACCTCTGTCCCGTAGTCACATCTTCGAACCGGAGCGTCAGTCGGCCTTCTTTGCACATGTTCAAAATCACCGGAGCCGATTTTCTCTCATCTTTCCTACAATTTCGGCTACTCCTACTTTACCTCGGATATCCTCATTCCCAATCTTATCCTTTCTCGTGTGTGCCCACACATCCCACGAAGCATCCTCATCTCCGCTACACCCATTTTGTGTACGTGTTGATGCTTCACCACCCAACATTCTGTGCCATACAACATCGCTAGCCTTATTGCCGTCCTATAAAATTTTCCCTTGAGCTTCAGTGGCCTACGACGGTCACACAACACGCCGGATGCACTCTTTCCATCCAGCTCGTATTCTATGGTTGAGATCTCCATCTAATTCTCCGTTCTCTTGCAAGATAGATCCTAGGTAGCGAAAACGACCGCTTTTTTGTGATCTTCGCTAGATTGCTCCGGTCATTAGTGTGGATAAGTATATAAATGGATAGAGATAGGAAAGCAAACACAAGATGTACGTGGTTCACCCAGATTGGCTACGTCCACGGAATAGAAGAGTTCTCATTAATTGTGAAGGGTTTACACAAGTACATAGGTTCAAGCTCTCATTTAGTGAGTACAAGTGAATGATTTAGTACAAATGACATTAGGAAATATTGTGGGAGAATGATGATCTCGTAATCACGAAACTTCTAAGTATCGGAGTGTGGTGTCGTCTTGACTTGCCTTATCTGTCTCATAGGTAGATGTGGCATCTTCTCTGGAAGTACTCTTCCTCCATCCAGGGGTGGTATCTTTAACTGGTGGAGATGCACAAGGTAATGTATCAATTTCACTTGAAGCTTACTTGTAGTTTCAGGCTTGGTCAAGCGCGATACAAACCATGTAGTAGGAGTCCCCCAAGTCGCCGAGCTAGGGGGTCTGCTGAAAGAGGTGACAGACAAGGTAAGCAATCAGAGCTCCGACTGATTGTTCACCTTCTCCCCATCTTGCAGCAGCATGAAGGATAAAGAGAAGAAAAATGAGAAGAGATGATATGAGATACTTTTGCTTTTGAAGAAGTAACTTTCCACAGGCTTATTCTTGAACTGAGCTGGAGGGTTTTCTGGTTTCCTCCAGAGTATAAGGCCGACTGAAGAATTTGAGGGTCAAAACAAGTCCATCAAATCTAGAGTACGTTCCACCCTGCTGATATGGGATACTTTTGCTTTTGACAGAGTAATGAATGTATCGGCACGTGTGCTGTTACACTTGTCTCCACATGCTTCCTTGTATCCTTCGCACTTGCCCTATCTGTTCCTCAAGCAGATGCGGAATCTTCCCTGGAAAACATAAGATGTTGAAGATGAGTACTCGAGAGCAATGCCAGGTAAGTAATCAGGTAAGGGGTTCCAGGCAGTCAGTTCCTGGCTGGAAGCTTGATTCCAAGTGCTGACTGATTGTTCTCTTTCTCCTTGTCTTGCAGGTAAAAACAAGGCCAAAAGAAAAGACAGGGAAAAAGCATGATATGGGATACTCTTGCTTTTAACCCTGATGATATGAGATATTCTTGCTCTAGTATAGCTTGTTTGCAGAGGTATTATCGGGGGGAAAGAAAGCTGAATATTTCGAAAGGCTTCGTTGGGAGTGCCCTCTCAGATATGATGAAGAGTTGAGCATTTTTGCAGGTCTGCCTGTCCGTTGGGGATGGAGGTCGACATATATAGGAGTCTCCCTAACAACAAGTAGTAATGCTATTCCTTTACCCTGCTTGGTCATAGCACGGTAGTGGGAGCTGCCAGTTTCACATGTTTTAACTCTGTCAGAGCACTTTGAAAAAGTGGTCTGTGGTATCTGGCTCTCGAGATTCGGAGAACGATGCCTCTTCGATTTTTGAGAAAGCAATCATGCTGGGGGTCTGACTCTCGAGATTCGGAGAGCAGTGTCTCTTCGATTTTTGAGGAAGTAATCATGTTGGGAGTCTGGCTCTCGAGATTCGGAGGGCGGTGCCTCTTCGATTTTGGAGCAAGCAATCTTGTTGGGAGTGTTGTCTCGAATGTGAGTAAAGGTTGGGCATGTTTGCTAGTCTACCTTGCCACGAAGCACAAAGGTTGACACACAGGGACTTTCCAATTATCCAGCAATGGTACTGTTCCTTTACCCTCTCTTCGATTTTGAGAAAGTAGTCATGTTGGGAGTCTGGCTCTCGAGATTCGGAGGACGGTGCCTCTTCGATTTTGGAGCAAGCAATCTTATTGGGAGTGTTTTCTCGAATGTGAGTAAAGGTTGGGCATGTTTGCTAGTCTACCTTGCCACGAAGCACAGAGGTTGACACACAGGGACTTTCCAATTATCCAGCAGTGGTACTGTTCCTTTACAGTTGTGGGTAATAATATGGTAGCTAGACCTTCAAAATTTATGTGTCTAAACTTTGTTAGTGCTGTTTCTTTGCTATTCTTTTACCTTTCTTGGTCAGAGCGATGTAGTGGGAGCTGCAAGCTTCACGTGCTCAACTTTGGCAGAGAACTTTGGCAAAGTTATTTGTGGTACCCATGAGCTATTGTTGCGTGTGGGAAGTGGGTGATTGAACAGTAAGATTCATGTGCTTTCTACTTCACCAGAAGTCTTCGACAGAATGCCCATAATTTCTGCAAAGCTGAGTGTGCGTGTGACAGGTGCTGACAAGGCTAGAAAAGTAGGTGCCTCTTCGATTTCTGAGATCGGCCCTCGTGGTCTCTGAGCAGCCCAGCTTTTGAGAAAGCGAGCGCCTCTTCGATTGATTCGGAGAACGATGCCTCATCGATTTTTGAGAAAAGCAATCATGCTGGGGGTCTGGCTCTCGAGATTCGGGGAGCAGTGTCTCTTCGATTTTTGAGAAAGTAATCATGTTGGGAGTCTGGCTCTCGAGATTCGGAGGGCGGTGCCTCTTCGATTTTGGAGCAAGCAATCTTGTTGGGAGTGTTTTCTCGAATGTGAGTAAAGGTTGGGCATGTTTGCTAGTCTACCTTGCCACGAAGCACAGAGGTTGACACACAGGGACTTTCCAATTATCCAGCAATGGTACTGTTCCTTTACCCTCTCTTCGATTTTTAAGAAAGTAGTCATGTTGGGAGTCTGGCTCTCGAGATTCGGAGGACGGTGCCTCTTCGATTTTGGAGCAAGCAATCTTATTGGGAGTGTTTTCTCGAATGTGAGTAAAGGTTGGGCATGTTTGCTAGTCTACCTTGCCACGAAGCACAGAGGTTGACACACAGGGACTTTCCAATTATCCAGCAGTGGTACTGTTCCTTTACCCTTGTGGGTAATAATATGGTAGCTAGACCTTCAAAATTTATGGGTCTAAACTTTGTTAGTGCTGTTTCTTTGCTATTCTTTTACCCTTCTTGGTCAGAGCGATGTAGTGGGAGCTGCAAGCTTCACGTGCTCAACTTTGGCAGAGAACTTTGGCAAAGTTATCTGTGGTACCCATGAGCTATTGTTGCGTGTGGGAAGTGGGTGATTGAACAGTAAGATTCATGTGTTTTCTACTTCCCCAGAAGTCTTTGACAGAATGCCCATAATTTCCGCAAAACTGAGTGTGCGTGTGACAGGTGCTGACAAGGCTGGAAAAGGCTGGAAAAGTAGGTGCCTCTTCGATTTCTGATATCGGCCCTCGTGGTCTCTGGGGAGCCCAGCTTTTGAGAAAGCGAGCGCCTCTTCGATTTTTTGAGATCGGCCTTCGTGGTCTTTGAGCAGCCCAACTTTTGAGAAAGCAAACGCCTCTTCGATTTCTGAGATCAACCCTCGTGATC